AGGCAAAAGGAGAAGAGGACGGCAGAGGATGAGATGGTTAGATAGCATCACTGAAGCAATGAGCATGAAACTGAGCAAACTCAGGGAGGCAGTGAAGGACAGGAAGGCCTGGCCCAATATGATTCATGGGGTCACGAAGAGTCGGACACGACTTAACGACTGAACAACAACAACAACAACAAGATGGAATAATTTGGTCATGATTAATCCTCAGGATGGAAAGATGTTGCTAAACTAGTGGAAAGTATTTTACTGAATTTCTGGTTTTGTTACAAATAGGAACAGCTCAGAAAAGATTCAGTCTCTGAGACATTCTTGGGGAGGGAGACCTCTTTTCAAAACCCTGTAGAACCTACAGAAACAAGCAAGACCAAAGAAAGAATGAGGACCTTACTCAAATTGTAAAAGAAATCTCCCAACCAACTCCCTTCATTTCTGAAATTGAAAAGAACTGATGGCTACGCCACTGGATATGTCATCAACAAGATGGATAAATTCCCTCTTTTCTATAAGACAAATACAAGATAAAGTTACAAAAATTGTGTGCAGAATTGTCTAAAACTGCCATGGGAAGGCAAAGGTATCTCTTTCATAAGATGTGAAGGAATACACAGATTTAAATGGCCACTTTGCAAATTTTCTTCAGTGTCCTTTCTCCTATTCTGCTGAAATAACTTTAATGGAGAGCAGAAAGATCTCCATGTTATTTTCAAAGTCTCAGAATATTTTAAAAAAAAAAAAAACTCTCCCACCACAAGGTTATGAAAAACTCAGAACATAAAAAGGCAAGTGGAAAATCAGGGCGGCCTCCTGAATTGGATTTCACCTTTATAGATCTGGAGATGTTATCTATGTCTGAGAGGCTCCATTCTAGCTTTCACAGGATAGTTGAGGAAAAAGAGTCCAGTATTAATTGTTATGCATGACCAACCTACAGAATTGTCAATCAATATAAAAGCATGGCAATGGCTTAGGAAGTGCCAGGCTTTCCTCTCCATTTAAAGGAACCATCAAAAGAGTGTTTAGAAGATGTTGGGTCTTTATGAATGTTACCAAAAATTTAAGAAACAAATCTGTTAATGCTTGCCGAACTACAGGAAATCTAGAAGATGGGAAAAGATGAAAAAGGAGTTCCTTAACAATGTGCCAGGTAAAATTTTCTTGCTGGAGGCCAGAATTCATAAACAGGGCAAGTTCTACTTATTACTCTATTAGGCTTTCTAGATTTTCTAGGAATGGGCCACTGCACTCACACAAAGACAGGAAGATCTGCCAGGAAACCATACAACTTGGCTATGACTAAAACATGAAGAACTGTATTGGTATCAGCATTTTTCCAGTCTAAATATATCATAGGATAGGCAGGGGTACCAAGTTTCTGTCATCATCACTCAATCTATCTTCTAATCACAGTGTAACTTCCTTCTTTCACCAAGGACAAGGGAGACTGAGAAAGAAGAAATAACACTGGGTGTGGAAAACCATAGTCCTTCAAGCAAGGTCATGCTGCTCAGTTCTTGCTGCGTAATCCTAAATGGAAGAGTTGAGGTAGAATTTCTTGCTGCTATTGTTGCATATTATACCCTTTGCTGCTGGAAGCATATTGTTGCATTTCATATACTATGTTGTCATTCTTAAGAGGATCTACTTGGCAATCATGTTTTCTTCCAGGCTATGGTAGAGGGAAATATTCTTCATTCTCAGTGGGTATCTTCATGAATTGTTAATTACAAATGAAACCTTATATCATTGGAAAGGTAGCTTTTGGGAAAGTAGTACAGGTAGTCCTCAAGTTATGACTGCAATTGGGACCTGGATTGCCATCGCCAAATGATGCAGTCATGAAGTGCAACATCATGTGACCGCATCACTTAGCAACTGCAATCCAGGCAGTCCTGGTTGTTATTGTAACCCAAGATGTGCAGGTTGTTAAGCGGGAAACAGAGGGAGTACCAGGTAAGGAGTGCAGGGGTGTGGGGGAGGCCCAGCACAGGTCACATGTGAGTTGTGGGAGGGGGTGCTTGGGCAGCACGAGCTCAGAAAGGCCAGGGAATGAGGGCATGGGGTGCATGCGTGCAATCACAGGGAGGTCGAGGAAAGGGGGTGTGGGGTACATATGTGTGTGTGTGCGATCGCAGGGAGGCTATGGAAAGAGGGTGCTGGAAAGAGGGAGAGGGGTATGTGCGTGCATGTGCAGAGTTACAGGGAGGCCATGGAAAGAGGGCGCAGGGTGCATGTGATCACAGGGAGGCTGTGGAAAGAGGGTGCGGGTATGTAGTGCAGGGTGCATGAGTGCAATTGCAGGGAGGCCATGGAAACAGGGCGCATGGTGTGATTGCAGGGACGCCATGGAAAGAGGGCATGCAGTGCATTCATGTGTACAAGTGCAGGGAGGTTGGGAAAAGAGGATGCAGGGTGTGTGTCAGTGAAGGGGGGAAGGATGGTGCAGTGTATGCGAGTGAAGAAAGGTGAGGGGGATGTGCCCCAGCAACTTGCAACCTTCCTTGCTGGCTCCTCACTGACTTTGCTTGGGGGAAGCTGGCAGGGAAGGTTGCAAATGGCGATCACATGACCACAGGATGCTGCAACTGGTTGTAAGTGCCCCAAATTGTGTGACTGCGGGGGCACTGCAATGGCCAGAACTTCGAGCACCAGTCATAAGTCCCTTTGTTCAGCACCGTCATAACTTTGAACGGTCGCTAAACGAATGGTCATAACTCAAGGACTACCTGTACCAAACATAATCCTTCCTGTAAAATGAAAATAAACGCTTAACTGACCTAGATTATAATGCTACTTTTCCAAAACCCATCACCACTTTAGAGGCCATACTTTTTCAAAAATTATAAATGCTATTAGTTTTGTTTCCATGGGAAGAAATAATCTATGATGCATTTTTTGTTTTGCTTGCTTTCATTTAAATCAACTATATTTAGCTTTTTGAGAAAAAGTATGCTTTGTGAAGGGCTACAATGCCTGAAAATTTCCTACATCTGTTACACTATAAAGTGATAGAATTTGCTGAATGCACTTTGCATTCAGTTCAAAAAAATGCATCAATGGGCACAAGAGCACAAATGTAGCACCTGTCTGTAACTGTTTTAAACAGCTGCATCGTTTCCATGTTTTGTGCAGCCACCCTCTTCAGCTGCCACATGATCCAAGAAAAGATGCATCTGCTTTATTTAAAAAAGTTGCAGACAGGCGCTAAATTTAAACCCAGGTAAATTCTGAAAAATGATTTTGGTATTGAATCAGAACCACTTCACTGCCTTACTGATTTCAACTGATAGTTAATGAAGACAAGCAGCTTTGGATTTCCAAACTGAAATTCAGACTCCTACATTTTATTAGGCAACCTGGAGATCAGCTGAAAGCATTCAAGCTATTTTCCAAATTTGAGTCTAAACTAGCTGCTGCACAGCTGAAATTATGAATAGATGAAACATTTACTACTAATACTTACTTTGATGCAAAGCCTCGTTGCCGACTACTTGAAAAAACACGGTTTGAAATAGGTTCTCGTATACTAAAAAACAACTTGGGTTCCTCTGGACTATAGAGCAATGATTCATTATATCCATTTGTTACTGAAAAAGCAGAAGTCAAACAATCAGGTTAAGTCGCACACTAAAAGTTAGTGTTCAAATAATCTCTTATTTATAGTTAAGCTTTCTGATTTCACGTAACACAGAAAAGCTGTGAAGAGCTTGTGGAAATTATTCTGAAAAGCTTGTGGAAATTAACTTGCTTAAATCTGTTGTTTTGTGGGTTATTAAATGTTATGTTAGCCTGCCCCATCAGAGTTTCTGGAAATATAACATACTTAAAGAAACTCTTGAACTACATTCAATTTATTTGATTACTACTTACAGATATAAAAATCTTTAACTTAATGTATGTAAGTTAAATGCATGAAATAATAAACATTATTTCTGTAACTCTGAAGTACTGAGTAAAATTAAAGAACAAAACAAACTGATAAACTACAAACTATGATTGACTCAAACATGCTAAAAATATACCTCACCTTTCTGTATTAGTTCCTTGTTCAATGGAAGCTTTAAACTCTCATAACTTTTAGCTATTGAACCAAAAAAAAGAAAAAAATTGGTTATAGAAAATTGTATTTTGCATTTGCTAGACAACACGTGACAAAAAAGGGTAACGTTACTCAGTACAAAAACAAGAGACAAAATTCTAAAAGATACTTAATTCTATTTCTGTCCTGCAGCCGATCACTGAACAATGAGGGAAACACACACATACATATTACCACTTTTAAAAGTTTTTTGAAATATCTAAAACATATAACAATCTCCTATAAGACAATCTCATCTGTATCAAAGGTAAATATATATGTGTGTTACATATAGGAAAATGGGGAAGCCATAGATTCCCCATCCCTGATATATTTAAGAGGAGTTTCCCAAAATACATCCTTCATTCTGATTCAAGATTACTTGTTAAGCAACAAATATGGTTTGGTTTAACAAAAAATATAAATAAAATACAGACTTGTTTTCTAAAGCCATGTGAAGTTCTTTAAAAGCTTTTCAAGTCTTATCAGTGCTCTTCGACTTATTTTTCCTATTATAGAAATTAGACTCCTACAATATAAGTGCAATATAAACACAGTTTTAACAGGGATATAACTGTTTATGTCATTTTAGTAGCATTTCAAAGTGGTTCTATTAATGTATAGGTGATAGATAAGATAGATAATTAGTCTTTGAAGAAAGAATGGCATACTTTTAAACTATGTCAGGTTCAGATTAAATTAGACAATACTTTGAACATTTTTATTGTTTTCAATTGTAAGTGTGTCGTTAGGAACTCACCAATCTTAAGAATTTCTTCCACAGCCTGATTTGCTATTTTGTTGATATTAAAAGACCTAAAAGAAAATTAAAAAAAAAATAACACTTTTAGTAACTAGATCAGCTCTAGGTGGGAAGCCTTCCTCTGTGTCTCCAACATTCTGAATTACTTTAATCGATTAATATTCATTACTGTTATTTTGAGAAACAAATGTTTGACTCAGAAGCTGAAAGAAAAAAATAAAATAAAATAGTTGCCTAATAAAGTTTAAAAGCGGTTTGAATGGAACAAAAATTCTAAGAAACCACTAACTCGTTCAACCATATGACAAAGTTTTTGCCTTAAAGGCTGCCTAAACACTGGAAAACAGTGGAAATTATCAAACCAAAAGGAATTCACCTTCAGTTCATTTCCAGCAATGTTAACCATAAGGATTTCTTGGGATAATGTTAAGCATGTTTAATTCTTTATCTGGAAAAATCTGGGGATCAGTAGAATTTGAATCAAGTAACCCAGCAGGTTAAAGACAAAGCAATTATTTCTTTCCATAACTGTCTACTTTTGACTGTGTATAGAATTTGTGCTAGAAAAGGAGCATTCACCTGAATTCTAAAATTATAATATTCCATAAGGATTGTAATGTACAGGTGAAACTCAAAAAATTAGAATATCGTGCAAATGTTCATTTATGTCAGTAAGGCAACTCAAAAGGTGAAACCAATATATGAGATAGATGCATTACATGCAAAGTGAGATATGTCAAGCCTTACTGACCCAGAGTCTGGAGGAAGAATGGAGAGGCAGAATCTATGGGGCATTGCCAAGAGAAAGATGAGGGACATGAGACCGAACAATGCAGCGGAGCTGAAGGCCGCTATTGAAGCATCCTGGTCCTCCATAACACCTCAGCAGTAGAATCTATGGGGCATTGCCAAGAGAAAGATGAGGGACATGAGACCGAACAATGCAGCGGAGCTGAAGGCCGCTATTGAAGCATCCTGGTCCTCCATAACACCTCAGCAGTAGAATCTATGGGGCATTGCCAAGAGAAAGATGAGGGACATGAGACCGAACAATGCAGCGGAGCTGAAGGCCGCTATTGAAGCATCCTGGTCCTCCATAACACCTCAGCAGTAGAATCTATGGGGCATTGCCAAGAGAAAGATGAGGGACATGAGACCGAACAATGCAGCGGAGCTGAAGGCCGCTATTGAAGCATCCTGGTCCTCCATAACACCTCAGCAGTAGAATCTATGGGGCATTGCCAAGAGAAAGATGAGGGACATGAGACCGAACAATGCAGCGGAGCTGAAGGCCGCTATTGAAGCATCCTGGTCCTCCATAACACCTCAGCAGTAGAATCTATGGGGCATTGCCAAGAGAAAGATGAGGGACATGAGACCGAACAATGCAGCGGAGCTGAAGGCCGCTATTGAAGCATCCTGGTCCTCCATAACACCTCAGCAGTGATTGTGAATTTGGGGTTTTCATAAGCTGTATGCCATAATCATCACAATTATACCAAAGAAAGGCTTGACATATCTCACTTTGCATGTAATGCATCTATCTCATATATTGGTTTCACCTTTTTGAGTTGCCATACTGACATAAATGAACATTTGCACGATATTCTAATTTTTCGAGTTTTACCTGTATTGTTGCAAATCACCTTAAATGAACATTTCTCAGAAAAAAAGTCCAAAAAGCATTCAAATAAGTTCAACAGAGCTTTTTTCCCCAAAAATATTGGGTATAGAATCATATATAAAATAAGTATGGCTTAAAATAACTCAGTAAACATAATCCTTCTAGAACCTATTTCTTATAACAGCTATATTGCATATTTTATCAAAATAAATGTGCTATGTATTATTCCTTTTAGAAGACCTCCAGGAATAAGTGATACAACAGAAGCAAACCAAACTTACCAAGCTTTTGATCCAGTTCCAGTGCATATATTGAGACCTGAGCTCTTTTGTTTCTCCCATGGACCATCATCCACTGATATTTCATAATAAGAAGCCCTATGAAGGGAGAATTTAAAACTGGGTTTGCAGGACTTATAGTTCACCCTGAATAAGACAGAACACAGCCCGACATCAGGCATGTACCAGTCTAAAAGGGCTAATTTCAAACATGGCTGAAAATTTTACTACTGAATTTGTATACAGCAGTTTTAAAAAGCAGATTTAAAAAAAAATATATATACTTTTGATGGATAGTTTTTTTAGATCAGTTTTCAAAACTCCAGCATGTTGTTAGTACAAGAGCAAGCCATTTTGAAAGCCTTTTAGAATTTTCTAGTGGGTTTATTTGCAATTAGCAGGAAGTCTACTAATATTGAACACAGCACAACAGAAATACATACAATTTTTCCCTCTACATACTTGTCCCTAGTGTCATTAAGATCAAAATGGAATTCTGAATTTAAGCTGCAAGTGGAAGAAATCCCCCTGCCACTCCAATCTGTAAAAAATATTTCCTCTTTCAGATCATATTGCTAGCAGAATGCATACACAAAATAAGTTTAACTTGTCAGAACTATTTTCTTAAATACTCAGCTTCAACTACAGCTATTTAGTTTATGATTTCATGTTTCCTACTATTACATAATACATTCCAATTCCCTAATCCATGATATGACATAACAAAATTCCGCTTTTCAGTCCTCTGATCTACTATTTCACCAAGCACCTCACTCACAGCTCCATTCAACTTTCGGAAATAAACCATTTCCACCAACTTCCAGTTTCCTTACATCCTACACTAATGCTTGTGCATCTGCTCCAAAGGCTCTTCAGCTCTATGTGCATGCAACACTTCTGCGGGGACCACATCAAATCCAATGTACAGATTACTTTCAAAGCAGCCACTCAAGCTTTCCAAAACATGTGGCTGCTTTAGAACTTCATTGAGGAGCGCTTCACTAATACTGATACACTTCGCAAAATGCAACTTCTGAATGTTTTGCATAGCACTAGAATCCACTAAGAAAAAAAAAATTCTGTAAATCCTTAAAACAAGATTGCTCTTATTTTTTTTTTTAATTGCAATATGAAGTTCTCTCAGACAATGCTGGAAAAGAAGTTTTTACATAGCTAATAAGCTATAATATACCCTGGTAAGTGGATCGGTGATAAGGAAGATCCAATACCAATACATAATGTGCAAGCTGCAAATTAAATGCATTAAAGACCAGCTAATTATTTTTCTTTCAACAACTCACAATAAAATGAACATGCCAGTAAGAAAAAAAATAGGACTTAACTGCTTTCTCACAGGTTTCAGAAGCAAAAAATGTATCATTTGGATTCAGTAATCAAGTGTGAATACAATTCCATAGATTAATCAGTAGGAAAGCAAAAGAATATTAAGATTGATTGTAGAGATTATCTGAATGATAAAGTAGTTTAGAAATGTTTTAAGATAAATATTATGTATTACGTAAATATTATGTATATTATGTAAATACTAAGTATTATGTTTACAGGCTATGCCAAACAGTAATGCTTCCAAGTAGATGTTTAGCATACCTGGATGAGAGAGACTCTCCAATAAAGACTTCATTTAATGATCTTACAGGCAAGAGGTGTGGTTCAGAAATCTGAGATCCTGCAATCACGGGCAAATTACATGGGTGAAATATAGGCCAAGCAGATGTCTCTAAAAACACACTCAAACATATGAAAATGTCTCTAAACTAAAATTAAGAAGATCCTTATTTTCAGACTGATATGAAAATATTCATTTTATACAAACCTGGCTGCATCAATTCATAAGAGCTCTGCACTTAATGAAAACATTTGGTTTCTATTCTGAATATGTTTCTCCTATTCAGTTGAGATGGTAAATTAAGAGCTGAAGATGATGGTTTTAAGAGAGCACTGGTACTATTAATCATCAGTCAGAGTTGAATACATTTTTGGAGAAAAACAGTACTTACTTTGATCCTGAAATCTTCCATTAACATGGGCCCTACTATGCTGTTCTTGACTCAGCTGCTGTTCATGTAAATCTACAGGGACAGGGTTAATACCAGTTCCTTCAAGGTACAACCGGATTCGCTGCCTCCACTGCCATCTTTAAAGGAGAAGGATAACACAAAAATTAAAGCAACTGAAACAGATGGCAATTTTTTCCATTAATCAGCACTACAACTGACCTATACAGCATTCAGAAAATCATTAAGTATTTCATATAAACATTACTTAACTCACAAATAAATTTAGTTGATAGAAATGAAATTCATACTCTTATTCACTATCCAAATTATTAAATGATCTCTGCAAATACTGGGGCAATTTAACTTCAAGTATCCAAAAGATAAGATGTTCTTTTCCTGGTTTTCTGATGTTGGAAGAGATGGATTTTCAGAACAACTGTACAAGATGATTTAATGTGAAACCAAACAATCTAAATGTTACACCATCTATTTAAGGGAAAAGCAAAATGCAATTATTGCTTTGATATTCCTTGAAATATCCTTAATGAGTATATTCCTACTGCAATCAAACTATGACTTGCTGAATTCCTTCATTATTCTTGCAAGACTCACTGCCACACACATGTACAGTATTTAGAAGATAATCTGTAGGCATGTTACCAAAATCAAAAATAACTAATTCTATACATTCCCTTATTTTCTTTCTTTTTTAAAATACTGGTTTAGCCTCTCTAATTAAGAATAATTAGAAATTAATACTGAAAAATACTAACAAGTATTAAGCAGAATGATGATATATTACCAAAGAATAGCTGGTAGGTTTGATAACTATTGCACACAGTGATCACAATTATTATTATCATCTCATCAAGAGGATTAAATTTCTGCTTGAGCTACAGTATATGATCAGCCTGCCCAAAATAAACAAGATTGATCATTTTTTTTAAAAGAGGTATTTTGATTATTCTCTTCCAAGATTTTAGAGCCTTCTCTCCTTATCATACTTTTCAAAATAAGGAAGTCAGTGAAAAATAAGGGTTTTCTTTCCAATTCCCCTTTTTCCAAGCTAAGTGACTTGCATTCCACGGAGGAACATGTGGTGGGTGCTGTCATATGAAACAGAGAAGGAACGACTCACCGTTATTTTCAAGTTATTTATAATTAAAACTTGCCTTAACCTAACTGTACAAACTGTTCCTACTGAAGTTTCCACCAAGCCCATTCCTCCCACCATTTTCCTGCTCTAGCAGGCTTTGAGCATGTTGTGTCTATTGAGTACATTCAGTGCCCTCTGGCTGCTGTGAGAAGTGTGTATATCCCATTAGGTCTTTGTCCATTAAGATACTTTGTATTTCTGCACCTGCTGCAGCTTCATCAGACAAATTATTATCACCCTTTTATCTCTCAGTGGCCTTGTTTTAATGCTAGTATTGCTGGCACTCTCCATTAAAAAAATAGTGATTTTCATCATTAAGTGTATGGAATAGCTTACATTAAACTTGATTACACTATTGGATTACACTGTTGCACTTTCCTTTCTCAAGGTGTAGTACAACGATTTCTCCCAAGTTACATTAATCAATCATATTCATAATTCCTGGTCATTTCTTGACAATATTTTTAGTTCATTTAAAACAGATTTCAAAATGTGTATATACTGTATTTTTCCATCTATAAGACGATACTTTTTTCTAAAATCGTTACCCTAAAAATTGAAGGGCATCTTATGCAAGGAAGTAAGCCGAGGAGAGAACCGTGCGGTTGCGAAACTGCCCATACTTTGTTTCTGCAAACAGGCTTCCTCCAATTATGAGCCTCCAATCATGAGCGAAACTGCCCATACTTTGTCTCTGCAGACAGACTTCCTCCAATCATGAGCCTTATGTAACTGACGTCAGCTGATGCTGAAAAAACCAATTGGAACACATCCCATTGGAGGTGGAGAACGTGTAGACAGTGCGCAGATGCGACAGGGACCGGTAACGTCAGAGCATTCTGAGCCCATAAAGATGTCGGAAAATAAAAAAATAAATAAGCGAATG